GATAAAACTGCATCCCCGAACATTTCCCCTGCAGCATATATCTGAAATCATTCAAGCTTAGGCACTTAGACCTCTTCTTCTTTATCAGTTACAGTTCTTCATGCTAGATCTGATTACAGCAAATCTCTCCCTTCTTGCTCATCCCTGTTTTATTTTGTGTGGATCTCATAAAATACTTATGCTTTGCATGCACTTAACTGATTGTGAGGCTTTCTAATAAGCTATTTTATCTGGGCTTCTGTTCATCCATTCTGGAAATGCATAAGGCTATTTAGCTGCTTATTTTAATGTTTCAAACTCTTTCTCTCTTATTTTCTTCCATTTCCCTAATGATTGTGTATCTACTTCCGTAGCTATGTCTCTCAGCCTCTCTTGTCGATCATATTTCTCTAATGTTATTATTTAAAAAGGTAAATTTAGAAACAAATGCTTACCCAGGAAAAATTTAAATTAAAAGCTTGACCTTTATTTTTGAAGTCACTTAATGAAGTTGACTATAGTCTAAGAAATCTGATTCTCTAGCTCTCAGACTGGCTGAAAGCCTGTTTTTCCTTGTATTTATATCTGCGAGGACAGACATTTTAAGGAGACCTTGACTAGAGAAGCGTGGAGAGCCAGGGAAAAGCTGCTCCAAGGCTCAAGACGGTCTCTCATTTAGGGGAACGTGAATAGGAATTTTTTTTTTCTGCGAAACAGTGAGTGCTTTGGGCTTGCGGGAGGAAGGGCTACGTTAAATGTATTGGGCATAAAATGAAATGTTAATCACTTTAGCTTAATAATTCGGCAGCTGTGATCTGTTTGAACCTGGTAAGAGGCCCGTAGTTAGCACACTGCTATCTCAAATGCCTCTAAACCTTTTCTCGTGTCAGTGTATGTGTGGGAAAGCTGTGGAAACAAGGAGCAAATGGTTGTGCAGAAGAGAGGTGGTGCAAAATAAGTACCATGGAAGGCAAGGACGGGAGGAAAATTTCAATATTGTCAAAGTGCTTTAGGGAAATTTGAAGAATTAGTCACACCTATATATAGATGTCCCTTAGTTTAGTCCCCAAGGTGCTTACGTTCTGCAGAAGCTATTTTCTGATTTCATCATCGAAGAGTTATTTATATGAGAAATTTCTAAAGCTCCACGTTGTAGAAAAAGTTATTTTCACTAGCAGGAGAAGTCGCACATTTCAGTTCTTCTCAAGAGTAATGGTTATGGTCTTTCTCACCTACTGCATTGCTTGTTGGCAAGGCACCTATGAGGGCCAGGAGAGAGGCCTTCCCAACCTCTCAGAAGAGCTCTCAGAATTGCATCATTACCCTGTTAGTCTCTCCCAGCCCTTCCTACTGTGAGAGTAAATTATGGAGGAAAGGGTCACATTTTGGTATAATCATGACACTGGGCTCCCGAGATGCTGGGTGACCTTGCTCTGAAATCCTGAGGGCTCTCTCAGCTTTGCATGATCTTTCCAAATCGTACTCAGTGATGCATTTTCCAGCGACTGAGAGAGGCATTTGGTTGCTTTGCCGTATCCCTAAACCTAGTTTCAGATTTTTCATTGGATTTTATTTCCCTCTGGTTGCTCAATGACAGTTCTTTAGTGTATAGCTTTTCCACAGCTCTCCCATAACACCAATTCAATCATTTTGCTTTGAGTTTATCAGCTCATCCAAAAACAGCTGTGCGTTTCTGTCRTCTCTCCACCTCTATTAAGTGATGCCCCTCCCCAAGAAAATTTTTGTTCCTTTTGGTTGCACACTAAAGTCCTTTGATTCTATGTGACATTTCCTTTCCAGGCAAGATTAAAGACACCCAGCTATTCGASTGATTACATCTTGAGTAGACAGTAGGGAAAGCCTGTCTCATTGACTTTACCACCTTCASTAGATAGTATGTCAGCTGAATTAGCTGCACTGAGATTTTGAGCAGTAACCACATGTAGCATCCCCTCCCATGGACTTTTGTACTGAGATGCGCAAAGCAGAWGTTCTTTTTATTGCTGGCTCTGTCTACATTGAAATTTTATGGCTCTAAGGTAGCACAGACATATCTGAGATAGCTTGAGGCTGATCTGACGGGGAACTAACTTCCAGAAATGGTAGTGTGCAGCTTAGTGCTAGCTGAAAAATTGGCCCCAAAACTGAGGTCAATGGATTTATGATCAGCCAAGGCTGACCTGAGGCAGTGTTGGTTCTCCAAAACTGAAAAACAAGGTAACAAACTTATCTTCCACAGTGGTATTTAAGGACCTCAAGCTATTTTAAGGACCTAGAAGAGAAAAACATGCATGCACAGTTGGAGTGTTGAGATAAGCATGCTTTATAAAGGAGAAACTAGAGGAGAGATTTGTAGATTACTGGTCTTTCTCCTTTCTCCCTTTCTCCGCAGCCAGATGGCTTGTTCTTAAGAAAAGTAAAATAAATCTTCTAAACAAATCCATATTTGAAAAACTGTAGCCTAAATTTGCTTATTTGGGGAACATTGAAAACTGAGTTGGGATGAAAATGCTTGTACATCCTTGCTGCAGCATTGCTGTCCTCACTGCTCTTGCTGCACGTGTTTTTATGGACCTCCTCAGGACCGTTTCTTGGGATGTGTTATGCTGTCCTGTGTCAAATCCTGTGCAGAAGAAAATTATGCTTATTCTTGGCTCAGGAAAGTTTGTTGGATAAGCTTATCCTATGAGTACCAAGTACATTTTYGGCATTTGTTATTATTATTCTGATCCCTGACAAAAATAGCCTAGACAAAGCATAAACTCTGGATCCAAAAATATATTTAAAAATTAGCCGACTTGCTCACAAACTGTTTCTTACCTCAGCCAGCAGCTATTTATGAGAACATTTTATATTGTTTCTAATTTTAAACAATTAATAACAAGCACTAGCAATTGAATACTCATTTATTAGCTAGTTATACCCCCAGGTTTTTCTGCACATCTTGTTGCTGTCAAATATCTGTACCCAGCCAGAAATGACACATTAAAGCAAGCAACGTATATTTAATGGCACACACAGAGCAAATAAGATTCTGAGCTGTCACTTTTCTTTTCTTTTTATTGGGAACATCATAAAATATGCTAGCTGGACAAAGAAGTGGATTTTCCASTGCTCTCTGCTGAATTAAATGTAAATGTTGAAATTTTATCCCATTATCTAGAGATCCCAGGTTTATTCTCAGAGAGTGGCCACTAGAAGGAAAACTTTTTACTTTTATTTTTTTTCTTTCATCCTCTACTAAATCAAAAGTTTCTGTTATCAGTGAAGCATCTGAACACCTCTGTGCCCCTGGGTCATGCCCTGGTCCATATGTATCTGTGGCTTTGCCATGAGGTCCTGCAGAAAGTTTGGATCAAAAGACCACAGAAAATAATAAAAGAAAGAATAGACCTTAAGTGAGGAACAATGATCCCTGTTCCTTGAAATCATCCAGTGAAATCTTGTATCTGATTCCCAAGGAGAAAATCRAAACAAACCAAAGGTTCTTTTCCATTGGGAAGAATGTTAGTGTGTTACTTTCTTGTTGGCATCTTCTTGAGCTCTGACATGAGCTCCTGTCTGCAAAGCAGAGCAAGATCCTTTGCAGGTTCAGGTCTGGCGGAGAGCTGTCTTTGGGTCAGTCTTTGGTTGAAGATTGTGGGAACTACATGAGCCTTTAATAGGATAGATTCAGTCATAAGAGGGGGGTTATTTGCCTTTTACAAATACTGACATTGTTGGAAGGACCATTATTTTATACTACTGCTAAGTGATACCTCTGAAGTAGCTTGTTATCTGTAAGTTTCTGGGTGAGCTTGGTGCCAGCTCCACTCCTCAGCCATTATAAACAGATACTTTTATTATCCAGTTTTGTGTTAAAGAATCTGTGAAGCAAAACAGCTTCACCTGACCTGATGTTATTATTACAAATAATTTATTAGATTGTGTGATGCAAATAAAATAATTGAGATGCTGCAGTGACCTAGATATTCATTATTTATTCATGTGAATAAATACATACATATATATATTTTTGAATCCTGCTTTTCAATACTAAATGCCGCAAACTCCATGTTACTCAGAACTAGGAAAACTGCATCACTCCAGCCATTTTGTAGGTTAGGAAACTGGCAGAAGGAACTGCTAATGGCTTTAGGTGGCGCAACATTACTGAAACGAGGGGTTGAAGTTGAGAGTCTCAGCTCACAGGGGTTCAGACATCTTGATCGTGGCTGATAAAAAATAATAGCAAGACTGGCAGGAGGTGATAAGGACAGGGCATTCACACAAAGTGATTTGGTCATTTGATGATCACTTGGTCATTTGATGATGGGTGCATTAAGTACCTTAAATTTACCCAAAAGAACGGGAGGAGGCAGGTGATGGTGACCTGTGCAACCGGTGACTCCAGGAGGGGCCCCAGATGTTTTGGAACAAAGTCTTCTAGGAGGGGTTTCCTGAGAGGAGGTCTAGCAACAAAGAGGATGGGGAGAAGGTCAAGTGTCATTTGACTTTGAAAAATAGAAAAGCAATGAATAGATTTAGCAGGTAGATTTAGCTCTCTCTATCTGAGCTTTAGGATTAATATTTGCTGACATATCGGGAGCYGCAGAAATGATCTAAGGACTATTGAGAGACCTGCCAGAGCAAGCTGCCAGGAATATTTTCCTGCTCTCAGAGGACTTGACAGATGATTGTTTCTAGCTTGATTTTCCTTTACTTGGGTGCTGTTGCTTGTTGCTTGGTGGCAACATTTGGGTAAACGATGTTTTGTAGCTTCAGGGTAGACCTTGAGAGAGGGTCTCTGCACCACATGTTTGTTGTTGTCCACAGGTGCTCGTGTGAATCCTTGAGGAAATCTTGAGGAATTCTTGAGGTATTTTCCAGTTTCCAGTTTAGCTTGGTGAGAAGGAATAAGAGCCTCTTAGTGCAGGCTGGGTTTGGCAAGGACTTGCCGTGTTGGGAATGGGGCAAGAGCGTCACAGAGGGGCCTCACTGCTGGGATTTGCAACATGGTCTCTTTGCTTTCCATCTTGCAGGCAAGCTCTCGAGTGCCCTTCGAGAAGCAGCCACCCTCCAGTGAGATGTCCCGGCACCACAGTCGCTTCGAAAGAGACTATCGCGCCGGCTGGGACCGCCGGGAATGGAGCGCCAACGGCAACCACGTCGGCAGCGGGAGCTGCAGCAGCGGCGCTGGCGGCACGGGCAGCGCCCGGCCTGGCCTGTTGCCCTTGCCCATTGTGCCCTCCCGCCTGCCCACGCCAGCCACAGTGCCAGGCACCACCGGCGGCAGCGAGGCCATCACCAGCCTGGTGGCCAACTCGTCCGCGGCGGCCACTACCAAAGTAAGGATTTACTTTTCATCTTATGAGCAGTGACACCAGGCCCAGGGAAGGCAGCCACGCCTGCCCCCCCATGAAAGCCATGTTTGCAATGTACAAAAAGCAAATGTCCACCAACATTTTGTCTTTTGCTCTTTCTGGTGTTGTGCATGTGTCTGAGGAGATGGTTCTTCCTCCATGACGGAGGTTTCCCATGTCCCTGASTGGCTCAGGGCTGAGCAGCGCAGAGGCTTCTCTCCCATCAGCACTACCTGTGTCCAGGCTGTCTGTGACAGCCTGAGGCACCCACTGTCTTTCTGCTTGACCATCTTGGGGATGGTCTTCTCGCATGTTAAGCCAGTGCACAACAGGTTCACCTCTGGTGACTGCATTCTTCACTGGAGGGCGAAGGTCTTCACCCCCAAGAGTGAAGTCTGCAAAGTACAAATGGTTATTGCAGCAGAAATTTGGAGGAAGTTATGAAATGGGGGTTCTGCATATAAATACAGGTAGGACATCTGGGGAACCCGAACCCCTGGCAAGCTGTGAAGGTGGCCATAGCATGAGCAACTTGAGCCAGAAGCACTGCTTGGTTTCGTTTTAAGATGCTTAATGTTCTCTTTCAACTTGGTTTCATTTTAATATCTGCAAGCAGCGGATACAGAGGCTCAAACAGGAGGAACGAGACGGTGAAGTTATTTAAAGTAAGCCAAGAGCAAGCTGAATTTTTACTGCAGTGCCATTATTATATTGATTCTTTTTTCACACTGTAGCAAAACAAGGTCAGTGCTGCAGAAAGAAGCATTAGGCTGAAGTTTGCAGTGTGATTGATTTAAAAAATTTGCCATGGTGCCTTCAAATTATTTTAATTTAAATGAAGCCAATCAGATCCTGATCAAAACGTATTTAGGGTTCTCCAGATGTTAGGCTCAGATAGATGCATTTCAATCATGCCTTGTCAGGAGAAGATTGGCACAAATTTGAAGTCAACACAGTCATTTCATTTGACTTGACCTTTGTTCCTGGGTGTACACCTTAGGGACCAACTGTTGTCTGCAGTTGATCAGCTCTTCTCCCAGATGTTCAAGTGCCTGTGGAGGCAGAGCAGTGCCATTAAACCATGTGTTTACTGGGGAAAGGAGGCAGGAACAGCGAGTTAAATGCCTTTTGATCATATGTTCAGTGTGAATTGTTTTCTAAATTACCTTATTAGGCATTTTTCTGATGGCTTTCATTAGTGACAATGTTTTGGCATAAATAGATCAAAAGCAATAAATAGGCAAGAGTAGGGGTGGCATGGGACAGTTTTTTACTCAGAGAGCTGTTAATCAGCTCTATAATCTCCCATAAAGTTCATGTGCAAAAATACTTACAGTCTTTGCCCTTGCCTTTTCTATTGTGATTGAGCTGAACAGTTCTAAATATTTCAAATTCCATGTACCGGAGAAGAAAAAAACTTTGAGAGAGAAGTGAGGTAGGATCAACAGAGATGTAAAGATATGGTGGCAAGCTTCCAACTAATGATGTGGAACGGTGTCAGAGAAAAACATCAGGTGCTCATACATACTCATGTTCACCCTGCCTGGCTCTGTGTCTCTGCTTCGAACACAGCAGATTTACACTTGTGGTTTTAATTCAGATGGTTAGCAATTTCCCTAGCTGGTGACTTTTGCCTGTAGAATCCAGATAATGATTAACCATAAAAAATTAAACCTATATAATGGGGAAGTCTAAAGTCAGAAGGAAATGCAATTACAGGAATATGCTAAGTTGCCTTGGGCTGTGGAAAGGTCGCGGTCTACCCTCTGCTGCCTTTTTGTGAGCATGTTTATGGGGTAGCAGCTTGTGGGAGGCAAGTATCATCTTAAGCTGAATTTCTTGATACTCTTTTGTGATTGGGAACAGGATTTGATTCATTAGTTCCTTTTCTAGAACCTGAACCTTCCTCAACATTAGAGCACATGTCATTCATCTAAGTGACAAGGGGGTACCTCAAACAGGCAGGGACATTGCGCACAAATAAATTAGCAAAGAAATTATACATAATAAAAATGTGCACAAATAGATTAAAACCCCTTTCTCCTTGTTCAATAATCCCAAACTAAGAGTCTTTCAGAAAGCTGAGGCTAGGAAGGACCCCCATTAGATCATGTAACCTAAGTCCTTGTCTATTCAGTTGTTTTAGCTTCACCCAGCAATCAGTTTTGACTTTAGCATATCTTCTTAAACAGGTTTGAAGATCTCCAAACATGGAGGCCAGCCATCCATTTCCAGGTTAATTGCTTTCCTGGATAGTCACCTGTCGATAGGGATGACCTTATTTTCCTTTTTCCTAGATGTATAACTTTGCTTTTCATCATACAAAAACTCATCATTTTGCACAAAAGCCTGTTTCTCCTTACTCTCTGCTCATTTTAGTGTTTATTTTATTTTATTTTATCCAAATGTTGCAGTGTTTTTAATGATTGCTTCAAAATCTCGGTTGAAAAGTTGTGTTAACATTTGCTGCCTATCAATTCTTGTCACATGTGTTGAATGGTTTCCCGTTAGCAGCTATTTTTAGAAAAAAATTGTCAGTTGACTAGAGCTTAATCCTTTGAACACCACCGTTGTAAAGTGCAAAGTTCTTAATCCAAGACGTTGTGCAGTGCTAAGTCTATGTTTTTTAAACATACCTGCCATCTTCCACCATTACATATTATCCAAACAAGTTACAATTTTGTCAAAAACTGAAATGAAGTTTTCTAGCTGTATTGACTCTCATTAATCGTATTTCTGTCCTCCAGCTCTTGAGTAACTGAATGGTATAACAAATGCATAATGGAGAAAAAGAAAACTTATAAAGGAACTGTGATGCTCTCTGTTCTGGTGATGGAATTGATCAATTTAGGAATTTAGAGATAAATAGATTTTAGGACTGCTGGACTATCCACTTGGGCTGGACTGTTTGGTCTTTACCAAACAAGATTATACAAGTTTATATATCCCAAGCTGTAATACGTATATGAGAAGAAAAAGTGTGGGAAGGGAAAGAGAAAGTGATGATCTAATGAACTGTTGAAGAGATGTGAAACACTCATCAGAGGGAAGTTTAACATACATAATACCACCTGTGAGGGGCCCGGGTTCACTCTGTGCTTTTATGTTTTTGGAGGTTTTTACACCTTTTGGTGGAGGGCTTTAGAAGGAATATATGACTAATTATTAATGTGAAGGAGAACTCTAGAACTAATCATACTTTGCAGATCTTTGAAATTTATTCTCAAAGCATACCTGTAACCTTCTTACTGCAGATGCTTTTGTACAAATCACACTACTAGATCTGGCACATTTAAGTACTTGGTCTGGGTTATTTAACAAACAAATAAAAAAGCCATATTTTCCTTAGCTATATTTTTGCTAAGCAAAATAACTATGACCTTTCATGCTGCTCTAAATCCATCTCATCTGTGGCAGTCAGAACACATCAGGAATGTTATTTAATTTTTCCCTCAAGTTGGCTTTTCTTCCTTGGTCCTTTTTCCAAATTTCGGGGCCACAGAACAGTTCCCACAGCTGMCTCAGCGTGAAGGAAGTGTTTGGAGACCTTCTCTGGAGACACTCCCTGAAGCACCTGAATGCTCATGGTGGTCAACAGGAGAGATGAAGAGGGCAGTTCCTGCCATTGAGCTGCCACATATTGATTGAATTTATTTCTTCTTTGAATCCAGCCATGTATGATGATTGAGTTCAGCTTTGTCTTTGTGTGTATGTGGTAGATTCTTTTTTCTTTTTTTTTTTTTTTTTTTTTTTTTTTTTTGTTTGTGGGTGTGTGTGTGCAAGGAGATTATCGGTTTGTAGAAGGGAGCCATCAAAGAAATCCATATAAGACTGCAGCACCACTTAAGATATGGCCACAAAACATTCTAAAATTCATTTAAGGATGCGGCACAACATTCCAGCTCTGTTTCCTGTTCATCGCAGCAGCACCTTCATTCTTTGTTGCTTCTCCGAATTACTTTGCGAGTTACTTGTACAATTTTCTCCATCAAAGCTCCTGTATCACAGCTTCAATTTAGAAGTGTTGTCATGGGCTGTAATTTGAAATTTTATTACCAAGAGATTTTTTGGTTATAGAACATTTACTTTTATCATCTCTATATTATTTTTAAATGCCTGGAAAGATTGATACATCAACAGAATCTGGGCAAAACCAGGCAAGATCTATTTTTTTTTTCACCCTTAATTTTAAAAACCCTTTGCTTGGAACATAAATTGATTCTTAAGCCCCCACACACTTAATGATTTGTTATTCTCAAGGTTAAACCTATGACAAATCTTATAAAAAAAGCCAGSCTTCAGTTTTGATAGGATTTTCTCCAGCCGAGCTCAGGGATAACTATATAGTCTCCAGGCTTTAAATACCATAACTGAGATGTGATCCTGGCCTCCTCCTATACTTATTGCCCTGCCTATAACTTTTCAGATTGGARTGCTCTTGCTACCAAAGCACTGACCCTTCTGTGGTCAGCCACAGTGAAGATGTGGGAGAGGAGATGAAGATGGTGAAACATCTGTTTGCCTTTGTGGAAAGCCAGGCAAGGGCTGCAAGAGAAAACCAGCCCTCGTTGTCATCGTCTCCATGCACTCCTCCAAGTACCACTAAAAAAATGGTGCTGGGAGGGAAAAAAATCTTATTTTAAAGCAAGGACAAGTTGGTATGGTTGAATCATGCAAAGAGGTAAAATTGAACTGCATGGAAGTAAAATTCTGCGTGTTTTCTGCCCTTTAAGGCACAAAACAGTTTAGTTGCCCCCACAGCAGCCTGGTGCCAGTTTGCAGCACGTCGCAGCACTGGGATTGCCTGCCCCCTTCCTCTGCCTTCTGCGGAGGGGATTTGCTAAGCTGCTGCACGGCTTCCACAAATATTTAAAATATTGATTAAGCAGAGGAAAAATAAACACACATTGTTTCTCCAAGTTACGCCTTATGTTGTATATGATTAATTACATGCAACAATTTGCGCTGCGACGGTAACTGAAATT